CCATCCATCCATCCATCCATCCATCCATCCATCCATCCATCCATCCATCCTTCCCTCCCTCCCTGTCAGCTCCACACACAGTCCTGGACTGTGGAGTAGAAGCTGTGATCTTGTTCAGTCTGATCAGTTTTATTCTTACTGATGTTGATCTGTTTCAGAGCAGCTGATAGTTGTTGAAAATAAACATTATTTTTGTAACATTTATTGCTACACTTGATGTATCATCCATCAGTGTGAAATATGTTCCAGTACCCTGCAGTCCATTTGGATCTCTGAAACCTGACTTTAGTCCACCTTCAGCAGCTGTTTGTAGACGTGCCTGAAGGTTTCTGAAGAGCTTCTTTCATTTTTATTTGTTGATCAAACCTGATGAGTCTCATTCAGGCCAATAAATCCTGACTAATATGTTGAAGGAGAAATGACTGCAGGTTGTTCCTGACCTGACCTGACCTCTGACCTCTGACCTGTAATTTCTCATGTTACCTGCTCTCATGTTATCTGTGGATCAAAGTGTTTTGAAAGGTTTAAAACCTGTCAGCGGGAACATAAAGTCCTCACATCCACAGATTTCTGTCAGACTCAGTTAGGTTTCAGGTTTTACTGAGCTGCAGGCGCTTCAGTCCGTCTGAGTCTGGTTCTGATTCTTCTAACGCCAGAACCTTTGTTCTGATCTCTGTCTGGTGACTGCATCAGTTGTTTCTCCTGACAGAAGCTCCTCTGTCTTTATTATTTCTGACACATTGTTTTAGGATCTYAGTCCGTCGTCTTCTTCATGGAGTGTTTGGGTTTTATCTGTTCTGACTCTGAACCAAACAAAAAGTCCTCCAGTGATTCTCAGGAGATGAGCAGCTTTTGGATCCTGTCTTTGTCCAGAATTGATCACGAAACACCAGGAATCTGTTCCACCTGAGAACCTCAGTTCTTCCTTGGTCCTGATGCTCTCGGACCCCGTCTCATTTTCACCGATCTGTTTTGGACCAACTYCTCAGATGTTTGTTTTGGCAAAACTTCTTCCTGCTCCTTTTCTGTGGAAGCCCCGAGATTCCAGAGCTTGTTTCCTCCACGTGTCTGCTGAGAGAGTGATGATCGGAGAGCAACATTCTTCTTCTTCTTTGTCTCTGAAGACGATGGAAACTGAGGAGGAGCGGTCCAACCACGTCAACATCTACAGGAATAAAACCATCAACGGGGAGAGGATTTTATTATTTCTACCAAGGTTAAACTGACTTTAAAGACAGAGAAACTCAGTTTAATGTCACCTGAAATATGTTGAACACWTTAAAACCAACACTGCTGGTGAAGAACCCTGAAATAAAAAGTTTCTAACTCCGTGTGGAGCCAGGCTTGGTGTGGTCTCTGCGTGGGACATCAGGGTAACAAACATGTTTTTATTAAATGTTAGACTAAACTCCATCATTTTTATTCCAAGATGATTTTAGTGTAAAACTCTGAAAGTTAAATATTTATTGAAGGAATGCTCTTTAGTTGTATCTGCTGGGCTTTCAGCCAGTTCTGGGTTTGTTTTTATAAATAAAGCTGGGTTGATGGGATTCACAGAGTTTGTTAAAAAGTTCAGATGAACTTCARCTTGAAGTGAGGAAGAGGAGTGAAGGCTGTGTTATGACTGTGAAATGGATGTGGAGTCACCTTCTGATTTACGTTCCCTCCTCTGCTCCATGAATCTTCAGCTGATGGCTGCTCCAGTCTGGGTCCAGGTCAGACCAGGAAGAGGAGGAACCACTTCCTGGAAACACCTGGACCTCCAGGTTTTCTACGGTGCTGCTTTCCAGGAACGAAGACGTCACGATTGAATTTATGTGTCCCAGACATGAAATGCTTCAACTCTTTGGTTCCAGAGAAAACTAATAGTTCAGATTATTGCCAGCTAATAATCCCATCATCTTCATCTGTTCTTCATCTTCATCACGTCCCTGGTTTGGTTTCTTCCTCAGGGGGCGAGGGTCCAACGTGGAGCAGGATAATTAATGGTGTTCAGGATGTAAACTTTCTGACATGATTGGTGGATTACAGCAGCTGTTTGTTTAAACTTTATTTATATGGAAAACACGGACAGAACTCTGAAACCACAGACTGGATCAGACCCGTGAGATCGCTGAGCTGAGCAGGAAGTCTTTAACTAACCAGGAAGTGACATCATGATAGATTCTGTAAAAGCAGCTCTTTGTTTCCAACAGTGTTCTGGTACCTGAGACCCTTCCTGTCCACATCTTAGTTCTGGTTCAGGATCCACCTTTAGAGGGCGCTGTGATGGAACCGTTTCTTCCTGAAAACGTGGTGAACAAACTATATCAGACRGATGTTTTTAGAATTTATTCTGATTCATGGAAAGTTTTAAATTCATATCTTCTGTTCTGAACAAATTGTTTTCCAGAACTCTCAGATGTCAGAAACCTTTGTCACAATGTGAGCTACAGTGATCCTCTAATGATGCAAAGGATCAGGTCTTTGTTGCACCACCTTTGTCTAATCAAACCAACCAATCAGAGGCGTCGTAGCACCCTGCTGCATCCTTTGAAACCTAATCACCTGAAAGACTTTTAATTTCCCCTCAYTATTACTTTGTGGTGAGAACACAACAGATCTGTTATCAGAGCTTTTTAAAGACCCGATCCTTCATAAAGTCCAGAGGACAGCCTGGTCTGGGTCGGGACATGTGGAGCTGTGCTGTGGCCTCTGAATGACTGTGGAAGCAGATCGGGTCTGGGCTTCAGTGGACGGTAATCAGAGTGGGTGGAGGATGTGACGGAGCTCAGGGAGACTAATGTAAGGAAACAATCAGGAGGAAAAAGCTCAGCGCTCGCTGGAAACAACATCTGGAAAAGTGTGAGAGGCTGGTTTGATAAAGTCCAGGTACACCGCAGAGCGCAGAAGTGTTGCAGTGGAAAAAACTGAGACAAAGAGAGGTTTCAGCTTCTAAAAGGCTGCAGCTTTGTACCGATCAGTCAGTGGAGCGAGCAGAGTTAGGTCTGAAGGAACAGCAGGTTCTGACAAGGTTAACTGAAAGAACTTTAATTTTAAACATCTCAGCTCAGAGTAATTCACTCTTTATGGAGAACAGCCTGTATCAATGCTGTAACAACAKTGACCGCATCCACAGACCATAATAACACCCGTAACCATAATAACCACAGACTGATGGAGACAGGTAAAGAAGAAAGAAATTAAAGCTTAAAAGAAAGAATGTGACTTTAACACATTTTTAATAAAACTGAGAACTGTAAATAAAAATCTTAGAAACAGGAAGTGGTTCGACACATTTCCTGCAGTCAAAATGGAAACATCCTCTTATCACCCGCCACMGATGGCAAAGTCAGAGCAATAATGTTTTTGTCTGTACTGTTAGCAAAGTATCTCACAAACCACTGGGTGGTTCAAAGACCATCTGAATCAACTGAGGGAGGAAAACTGACAGTTTATTTGATATTAGGATATTTCAGGCTCCCACCACAAACCAGTGACTATTTTGAGAGAAATTATGTTGCACAAAGTTTTGAACATGTTGAAAATTCAAACAAGACACTTAAAAATTCAGAGAACATTTGGAGACATTTTAGAAACTCTAGTTTTTCCTGACCAGCTAGTATCCAACTGTTCAGTAGTTCCAACAGTCCCAACAGTCCAGTCCAATAGTCCCAACAGTTCCAACAGTCCAATAGTCCCAACAATCCAATAGTTCCAACAGTCCAATAGTTCCAACAGTCCCAACAGTCCCAACAGTCCCAACAGTTCCAATAGTACAATAGTCCTAACAGTCCAAAAGTCCCAACAGTCCAGTATTTCCAAAAGTCCATATGTTTCAACAGTTCCAAAACTTCCAACAGTCCAAACATTCTAACAGTCAGACATTTCAAACAGTTCAATAGTCCCAACAGTCAGTTCAGACAGACACTTCAATGTGATGGTTTCAATAGGCCCCTCAGTCCCACTACCCAACAATCCAACTGCCCAATGGTCCAACAGTCTCAGCCCGGTGGAGGGAAACTGTGTACTTGTGTCAGATCTGACAGATCGTCAGAAGAAGTGGATCATTCAAGCTTCCGCTGACGTTCCTGCAGGTTCTA